ATTCTCACCTTAAAAGCCTATGATGGGCTTTTATACATTTTATTAAAAAGGATTCCATGAAATTTTGCCATCGACTCCGCAAGTCTAATTGCTTCTTCTTAATCACCATTATTAACAAATGTACTTGCTGTCTCTGTTCACTTCCCCTGGATGACAATTCTGTTACTTTCTTTTTTTGGGGGGGGTTTGTTTTTGTTTTTTGTTTTTTCAAGACAGGGTTTCTCTGTGGCTTTGGAGGCTGTCCTGGAAGTAGCTCTTGTAGATCTGCTGGTCTCGAACTCACAGAGATCCACCTCCTCTGCCTCCTGAGGGCTGGGATTAAAGGCATGCGCCACCACCGCCCAGAAAAATATGTAGCCCAGGCTGGCCTCGAACTCGTGATCCTCCTGCCTCTGCCTCCTTCAGCAAATCCTACCAGCGTTCACCATCACAACCGGCTCTGTTACTTTCTTATTTGACTCCAATCCAAGTTATTTCACTGTCTTGTTGGGCTATGTCTCCAGGCTCTGCATGTACATATCTTTCCCTCATTTTGTATGGGGACTGTATAGAAAAATATTCTTATGATTTATCTAAAATGAATTATATATAAAACATTTGGCTCATATTTTATTTCTTCATTTTTGTCAAGGGGGGAGTTATGTAGGATGCTTTATCTTTCTAAGTACAAAACTGAATGCTATAACCATGTATAGCCACAGGTGTCAGAAACCATACAGGAAAAAGTAAAGCAACAACAGCAAAACCATAGAGTTAAATTATTCAGGGAAAATCCATCACTCCAAAACCACTCTCTTCTGAAAAGAGGTTTGGAGGTAATGTAGATTATCCCTTGATTAAACTGACTCATTAGACTGCAAGATACCCAGGCACAGACATACTCATCTTCATCTTCTCTGGTGATTGACACAGAGTTTTATAAATAATATCATTTCTGCCAATGTTTGCTAAATTGAATGTGAGAATTCCAGCAAAATTGCATATGTATGATGAAATATATGACAATATTATTATTGTTGCAAAACTGAGATTTTTTCTACAACAAAGTATTTTATATGCAATTTTATTGCTATAAGGGATGAAATAGTATATATGACAAGGATGTGAAATGTTTCAATGATAGTTTAGAACAGCTAAAACAAAAGTGTCTTCCCTATTTTTCCTTCTTAGCTCTCAATGCTGCATAGCCACCCTTATTATTTGAAGAAGGAAGTCCACATGCGGTGAATTTCTAGTACACATTGGTGTTAATACCATTCACTGCATTTTTGGGTAAAGGAAATTAATATTAGAAAAAAAATCTGTGACTTTGGATGTGATAAATAAGCATTGGGTTCTTCCTCCTTTAAGGAGGCAAGAACACTTCTCTGGTCTCATCTAATAAGCTCTTGAATACATCTACATCATCATGGTAACTTTGAGACATGAAGCTATCTGTGCTAGTGTATTAGAGAAGAGCTCTTTCTTTGACTTTATTCCCAACGCAAAAGTTAAGCATTAGTGCTTTAGAGAGACAGGAACAGGAACAGCAACAAGCCCTGTGCCAGGATGAGACTGCGCATAGTGCTAACCCTGCCCGCTGGAACTGCCCCAGCTGATCAAAAGTGCAGGAAACTATCAGAGGAAGGGCCTGAGGGGAAACAGCTCCTGAAGATTTACAGTGGCTTTGGTGTCAGGACAGAAAGCACAAACATCTGAAAACTGTAACACTGAACAAAGAAAACCAGAAGGAAGAACCCACAACAGCCCAATGTAGACATTTATCAACACCCCAAGGACCTGGTCTTTATTGCTGACACATATTAGCTGCTTCAGTCGAATCTTCAGCAAAAACTGACAGGAGAATGACTGCACACTGTGGAGAGTCCCTCCCTACTAAGCCTTCCAATAATGGCCTCTCTTTTTCAGCTGAGGGAAGATGGGATTATAGGATTCTACATAAACTTAAATAAATAGTTATTTCAATAGCACAGAGATTTTTAAACAGATTAGCTGATAATTCCCCAGACTGGCCTGAAAATCTCAGAAAGACATGGTCAAGGCTGACAAGGCCACTGTAGCTATATATCATACTCCCACTTATTAATACCTAAAGGTTAAATGCTCAATAATATTCAGAGCATCTACTAAAGGAAAACAGCATTTTTATAGATTAATGAATTGCGACTATCTACTGTGCCATATATGCCTTGGAGTTAGTGAATACTTGGGGAAGAGTATACTTGCTCACAAATTTTCCTATATGAGTAAAAGAAAACTAAAAACTATCTAAAATAGCCCAAGGAAGATCCATTATAGCCTTGATGTGACAAAAGTAGATGATATCCATTAAGATTAATGACATCCTTGGAGAAGTAATTTTTACTTAGAAAACAACACAGAATTCAAGCATTTCACTTGTAAGTCATTTAAAACATGTGGTTAGGGATTTCAAGCAATATATGCACAGTGTATTAATAAAGGCAAGTATTGGATTTTATAAATTATCTGTCCTTCAATATAAACTCCCGAGGTTTACTGTAAAAATAATAATAGATTTTGTGGATTAAAGAGATGACTCAGAATAGTCATACCTACCAGAATGGTATTTCTTGCCATTGTAGCTAATTCTTTAGCCCCTGTTCATACTCCTAACACAGCTCTTTGCTTGCCTTTTGGAAAGGAATGCCTCCCAGCTCTGCTTTGGGTTGTGACATAACTACCAGAGGTACAACTCATGTATGTTCCTGTGATTGTACAGGATTGTGCTGCATTTTTGTTTCAGTGTGACCACAATGACAATAGCATTCCATCCTGTGGAAAATCTTATAGTTTTGTCTCAAAATAGGAGAATCAAAGTAGGAAAATAAAGTACACTAAGATTAAACCCATCAGATGTGATGGGGTCAATTTAAATTGGTTCAATCTGTGGTTATAAGGCTTAATATTAGGATGTAGATAGACATTTCCTGGGTTTTGCAAAGTGGCAGTTGTAGGTTTGATGAGGAATGTACTCTGTATGTTTATCTTATTGATTGTTAAATAAAATACTGTTTGGCCAATGTAATGGCAAGTTAGGCAGGACTAGGAGTCAAAGAGGATTCTGGGAAATGTAGTAGAGAAGTGCTGATCCAGGCAGGAAGTGACATAGCAAGGAGACTCATATTTAAGTGAAGAAGAAACAGGAAGGGCCCTCTTTTCCCCTCTGCTCCTGCTCCAGCGACACAATGTGATCCACCGACAAGGAGGGATGCCAATAAGACATCCGATAAGATAAGTCTTATAAAATATATAGGTTTATGATATTTAAGACTGAGCTAACAGATGAGAAGTCCTCGCCATTGGCCAAACAGCTTTGAATCTAATACAAGACTCTGTGTATTTATTTGGGCCTAACTTGGGCAGGCGGCCAGCATAAAGCACACACGTGGCCGTGGGGCTCAGGTGGCTTTTGGCGGAAAGATTTATCATAACATAGGTTCTCCTCCAAGATCCATGACTTCCACAGATACATATAAGTCTCACACCTCATCAAAGATGTGGCTACTTGCAGCAGGCAGAGAGCATTACAGAAAACTACAACTGATCAAAATACAGAGAACAAGTGACTTTATAATCAGCCACAAGTTATACATGCACAATATAACTTCGTTATCAAGAGGATCATGGGGGAAGAGGGGACAGAGGAACATGAAGTTTGCTCTGAGATTTAGTCTTCTAGAATTATCAGAGAAACTACATCCATGAAATCTCATCAGCATGGCTGCCTAAACAAGACCTGAACAAGGACACCAATAGACATGCTGCCTCAGTCTCTGGTAAAGAATTTCAGACAACTCAGACATGTTGAGTCTTCTCCAGGAAAGAGGCAGTATTATGTAATGATATAATATATAAACACTTGTGTGTTTGTATGTATATTTAACAACAATTAAGGAAATAGAGGCCATGAATTTGAGAGTGAGGAAGTGTATGAAAATATCTAATGGAAGGAAAGAGAAGGCAGAAATAACTATATCTTAACTTCAACAAATAAAAAATTAAAAAGCTATCATACTTTCAATTAATAAATTCAATACATTTATTTTATATAATAATTTTTCATGTTTCTAAAGACAATTGGTTATATAATCAGCTTTTCCACTCATGGACTCATGGGATTTCTGTCCATGTATTGAACCATCTTTAGTATCTGCACATGTATCTATGGGTCATTTTAGTGTGATAAAACAGTAGTCACTGGGTTCTGAAAAGGCCTCAATATTCTGCTACTAAAGAGAGCCCATGCATCAGACACAGACCAATGAACAATGTGCTTGTAGTCTGATGACAATTAGACCTTGATTGTGGCTTTTGGTGAAAATTTAATGTTTCACACTGCTTAAACTAAGTTTCCTGACAGTACACATATCTGAACAGAATTATACTAGAGATAAATCCATAATTTATGGATTTATTAAATCCAAATACTCAAGATTTCAAGCAAATAAAGAGTGACAGAGATGAATAACAGAGAAAACATTTTCAAAGTTTAAAATGTCTATCATCTTAGATGTTTAAAATTTTCACAGAGAACAATAAATTTGTCTCTTAATTTATATCATTATATAGGAGAACATGTATTCTACCTGTTTTCCGCTTTATATTCATGAAATATATCATATGTCTAAAAGATTAAAATAAATCACCAAGACATTTAAGTGTTAAAGAATTATAGTGAAAATATTTTGTACTCAGTTGTTATTTCTAATTCTAACCACCATATTTCTAAATCTTGACATTTTCTACTGGTACTACATTTAGTGTCCCAGCATGAACATCAGGCACATTGGCAACAGCAACCAAAGTAATAAAGCGGGCTTTGTGAACTTCCCTTTGGCAATCAGTCCTTTTCTTCACAAAATCTTAAAATCCCTCTCACTCTCCACTCCATGCTGTTTTAGTCATATTACATGTCTCTAGACTCCCCTTAAGACTGCTAATAAATGAATGATAATGTTTTGTACAATTCATATACTTACAATCAGGAGGCATCTTTTCCATAAAAATGGAAAAATATTCTTGAAGAAGTTCAAAATTTTCTTGATTAATACTTTCTTGCAAAGAAACATCTCCAAACCTGAAAATAGGAAAACAAAAACAAACAAAATCCAAAAATAAAAAAGAAAGAAAGAAACCCAACAAAAAACAAAGAACAAAGTCAGGGGATATAAAATGGCACCAAAAAGTAACATGATGATCTTTTTCTAATCCACTCCATGCCTCTACTGCAAGGCTGCATCCCTTCGGACTCTCTCCACTCAATATCTCCTATTCATGCTTGCACAGAGGTCTAGAAGAACATGCCTGGAAGCCATCTTGCTCTCTCCCAACTGCTGGGTGCACAGGTATATCCCTGAAGTCTCCTGGAGAGGACTTCACCTTGAACACATTCAGTGTGGAACTGTGAAATCTAGCAGCTGTCTATCAGTGCTCCTCATCCTCCTCCATCACAAAGTTTCTGTCTTCTCTTTGACTGCCTCAGTGTCACAGGTATATTTATATATATATATATATATATATATATATATATATATATATAAAATTTTCTCCATTCATATCTACACATATACAGTTTTTCCTAGGTGTCAACTCAAGTCTCAGGGTAGATTTACTATTTGTTCTAAACCACAAACTGAAATCATTTTTCTTCTATTGATTAATCCTAAACCTGCTTGCAGTTTCTACCACAAATTCAGATTTGAAATCTAAGTCATACTCAGTCAGATTCCCTCTTTCTCCCACTAAATCCATTGCTCAACAGAGTTTTCAAGTTTCTACTCTTAGCACTACTGTTATACAAGATGTAATTCCTCTCATAGTCCTTTGCAGACATTTTAATGATATGCCTCCAGCCCCTCTTTTCCCTTCCACCTATAATTTAACATTTTTTCTAGAACATTATTTCAATCAGTAAATGTTCATTAATATCATGTGTATCAGACAGTCCACAGTGCAGTATGTTAAAACATTAGAAAAATTAATCTAGCACATATTTCATCATATAAGGTCACCAAATTTAATGTTTCTCATCTCTCTATAAAAACTAAATCAAACCCCATTTATTGTAGCATCTCATCTCTACATAATAATTGACAAGACACGTATGGGATACAGTTACACCATTCTCCCTTATCTAAGCATTATAATGCTTATGAGACTTTCCCCATGTTATTTTCCTCTGGGTATTCTGTCTTACCTTCCACGTCATCTTGAATTCCTATCCATCCCTCCTTCATAGCCAGTGAAAGGCAACTTTCCCTACAACAGTGGTTCTCAGCCTTCCTAATGATGTGGCCCTTTAAAACAGTTCCTTTAGTTGTGGTGACCCATAACCATAAAATTATTTTGTTGCTACTTCATAACTGTAATTTTGCTACTGTTATGAATCTTATATGTAAATATCTGTCACCACAGAGGGATTTCTACCCACAGGCTGAGAATCACCTCCCTACAAGAAAGAATCAAATTCTTTCTTAAGTAGGTTTATGTCTTCAGCATTTTTGATTATTTCATGGTCCAAATTTCATGTAAGATTTGCTGACATACTTCCTCCAAAGGATGATAGTCCTTTCTCACTATGGCAAAGGAGTACCTGGCAGAACCTGTATTCTGCATTTGCATCAAAATTATACCTGAAGAACAGGAATATGGTATCCAGAAAACACACAGGATTGTTTCCTTAGGGTTCTCTGACCAGACCAGCTACCATAAGCACCTGGAGGACTGTTGGACTAAAGTTTTATGTTTTCACAAAACTCATGTGTGGAAACTGTACCCTCCAGTGTGTCTCTATTTATTGTTGTGGCCTCCAAGGAAATACCTGAGGTTAAATGATGACATGAGGGTGGATTCTAACCCTACAGGATTAGTGTCCTTATGATATGTGATATTAAAGATCACTGCCCTTCTCCTACATATGTGTAAAGTGAGATCATGTGAGCATATAGAAAAAGAGCTGTTGCCAGAAACAATTCCCTGGAATTGGCTCTTTGATTTTCCATCCTCTTAACTCTGAGGAATGAATTTTAGTATTTAATCTGTCTAGTCTTCGGTCTTCATGCTAGTCAAAGTCAGTTTATACAATCAGCGTTTATTATCTAAGAATGGTCATATAAGATAATATATTTTCTTATGCACTTTCTAGATAATTAAAAGATACATTTTTAACTTAGAAGGGAGATAGAGGAAAGGAGAATGTTTTCGAAATCAAGGGACCTGTAGTGCTGTTACAACCATACAGGGGATAAAATCTAGTCTTGTCTAGAGGCTAACTGGTCATTGAAAACCCTTACTAGCTCTTTAAAAGGCTATAAATTTGAGTCGGAGACTGCTCTATAGGTCACATTCATAGGACGTGTTCATATATCTCAAGGTTTTAACACATTCAAACTTAATTAGGGGCACAATTCCTTGTTACAAGAAGTAACTAGTGTATTAATTGAAAGGAAAATGCTGTATATGTCTAAATTCTATAAGCAGAGATTGGGCATTTCAAAGAAGCACTGACCGCCATCCTTCTCAAGGGCCTTACCTCTCAGCAAGAGTCTGCTGCTCGTTGATTCCAACATTAAACAGAACTGGATACACGTGAAGCAACTGGCCTTCTTTAATCTGCAGAGGGAGCGACTCAAACACTGTAGCTGGAAGCTTGACCTCCACCACATAGTGTTCACTGCAGACAGTAAGGGACAGGAAAGAAATGGTACTTGCCATTTACCTTAGGTTGTTTGTGGTTCATTTGGAGGAAAACAGGTTAGAATCCAACACTGTCTTAGGCTTTTGGAAGTAAAATGGTTTAATAACAGAATATATAACCTTTGGCATTTGTGCTTCTTTTGAAAATTTTGCAGAAAACAGAAATATTTTTCATTGGAAAATGCCATTAAAATGATCCTAACTACTCAATATTGAAAATTTAGTATCTTTAAAATGAGCTCAGATCCTTGCACATGTTACATTTGTTATCTGAAGTAGGTAAGACTTGAGTGTAGATATGTAAAGGGTTTATCCTAGGAACTGGAGAGAGCCATGTACTTTCAGAAGTATATGGAGAGGGCAGGAGCATAATGCATGCATTGGAAAAAGAATAGGACAAAGAGTGAGTCTCTTTTAGACAATCTGTCTATATTCTCCATAAAACATTTTATTAAACATTGTTGATCATAGATTCATGTTGTGGAATAGAATATTTGTTTAACTATGTAAAGATGTGTTGCTTTTGTTTGTATTGCAAATAACTATGTGAAGATATGTTGCAATATCTATGCTTCATTTTTCTAACTGTGTAAAGATGTGTTGCTTTTGTTTATGCTTCATTTTTTTTTAACTATGTAGAGATGTGCTGCTTTTTCACTTTGCCTGCCTAAGGCTCCTGATTGGTCTAATTAAAAGCTGAACAGCCAATAGCTAGGCAGAAGGCAGATAGGAAGGGCTGGTTGGCAGAGAGAAAAGGGGAGCCAGTCAGCCCACTAGGGAGAAGCCAGCCAGACATGGGGAAAGCAGGAAAGCAAGAAAGCATGATGGGCAGTACATAGATGCCTAAGGGTAGCATGTAGATGAATAGAAACAGGTTAAATTAACTTTAAAAAGCTAAGAGAACTTTAAAAAGTGAGATAAGCCTAAGCTATCGCTGAGCACTCATAGTTAATAATAGGTCTGTGTTTTTATGTAGAAGCTGGTTAGTGGCCCAAAGAAAGTCAGCTATAGGTTCACATTTGTTTTTTCCTTCTGCTGGCTGAGAAAACTAGAAGCATCATGACTCCTGCAGCCAGGGATACTGGCAGCACCCTCCACATGTGGAAATTGTAATTTTCTCTGTTTATTTTCTCTTGGATCATTTCTAATAGACTGATGTTTCTTTCAACTCTTTTAAGAATATTAAGACATGAATGAGTCAGTTAATATTTAAAAGTCATCCATATTGCAAACAGTGTTGGTTATGTATATTAGTAAGTCACATTTTATTTGTCAGTACATCATGTCACATTTTGTCCTTGCATTCATGAGTGGACACATAGATTATGCATAAATTTTTCTTGTGAATAGTCTTATGATGAATGTTTAGGTAAAAGTTTCTGGATTGGCAAATGCTTAATTTCCTCTTAGTTATATAATTAAAAATCATAGTGTAAGTTTGCATTTGACTTAAGAAATGCTTTAGTTATTTCCTTTTATATTTCCTAATTAAAGTATTAAAGTATAATTGCATTATTTCCTCTGTCCCTTCCCCCTTTCCTCCCCCATGTTCTCACATCCCTTTTACTTCTTCTCAAATTAATGACCTCTTTTTCATTAAAGTACTCTATTTTTCCTTAAATCATACTTTAAGTTATAATTAAGATATGACATGTCTTAGTATATTTTGGGAACAAGTCTTTTAAAATATATATTATTTTTATGTGTTTTCTCTCAGTTTGTGGCTTGTTTTCTCTTTTTCTTGGTGCTATCTTTTAAAGGTGTGTGTGTCTGTGTGTCTGTGAGTGAGTGTGTGTGTTAGTTTCAGTGAGAAATGTCCTATATATATTTAGGCCCCTGGTCCCCAGTTGGTGGCTTTGTCTGGGAGGTCATGGAAGCCATGCTGAAGGAAGTGTGTCCTTGGAGCTAGGCTTGAAGATGTTGTACTGGGTCACACAGTTGTCTCTGTGTGCCTCCTATGTGCAGATTAAATGTGGTCAGTCTGCTTCCTGACTACCAGGCCTTCCCTGCCACGATGAATAGTCTCTTCTCTGGAACTATAAGACAAAATAAGCCTTCTCTTTCCTAGCCACAAAAAAATCACACACACACACACACACACACACACACAAACAGAGAGAGAGAGAGAGAGAGAGAGAGAGAGAGAGAGAGAGAGAGAGAGAGAGAACAAGTTGCTGGTGATGGAACCCAGGCCAATGTCTGGGTTGAAGATCAAACCAAGGTCTCAGAGCTTGGTGTGCAATTAATTCTACTAACTAAGACACCATCCTAAACAACACAGCTGTTGAGGTGGTTCTTAGAGGAGAGGATGTATCCAGATGCAGGTGTTTGTTCTTCTGGGAATCCTGTACTTCATTGACAAATTCTGAACATAAATGCAGATGGAGGAATGTCCTCAGCCAGAACATCCTTCTCCTTCTCAGTTGCTCAAATAGCCTGGTAAACTTCTCCATGAATTGTGAGAGAAATTATCACTTTGTCATATTTGTCAATAAACATCAGAATAATGCACAGATCTGTGCTGTTTTCCAGGTGTGTTTGTGAACATATTTTCCTCTAATGAATAGCAAAAGGTGCATTACATCTATTTTCATAGGGCTCTGTTTTCTTTATATGCCAAAGTTATCTTTCAACTACACATGAGGAAATGGCTGTTTTGTATACACCTTTAATACATAATTCTAAGTAATTATTGTATATTTTCTTTGTCTTTTATCCATCTTTCTCTAACACATGTTTACGGTGTGACCTGAGACTATTCCAAAATTCAAAATACTTAGATGTGCTAACACCAAATCAATTAAATCTGGGTGACATCTGATTACAATAACTTATTATATGGTTTAATTCTTCTATTAAAATTCTCTTTTACACACACACCATCATTTTATTATTATTTCTGGAACTTTGCCTGTCATATTCTGACCTTAGAAGCTATTTATTTAAAAATGCTTCTCGGAAATCTCACAATCTGAAAGTGAATTGTTAAAAATAATTAAGGAAAACGGAGGCGTATGCACCCGACATAAGAATATATACTTCTTCACATGTTGCTGCTTTTAACTGAATTTAATTTAAAGTCATCTCAAGAATTATGAAGCTATTAGCTGAGCGATTCCCGCAAACGTAAAAACACCCAGAGCTATGGACCAGACAGTAATGAAGAATCGTAGACTTTGGATGTCACCACTGCTGCAAATTTCTTATATTTCAGAAACATCATGTTTAACCTCATGACCATTTTACAAACACTCATGAGACTTCTAGGAGATTTTCAAGATCTCCTTGGATTATTTCATCTTCATTTATTTCTCACCAAAAAAAAAAAAAAAAAAAAAAAAAAAAAAAGAAGAAGAAAGCAGAAGAAACATCCTCAAGCAGAACCTTAATTATCCAAGGAAATTTTCTTACAAAATACCAGGAGGGTAACTTCCTCTGGGCTTTGAGCAGGGGTACAACTCACCGCCTTCCTGTGAGAACAGGTAGGTCATCACTAGACTTGGCTTCAGTTATTTTAAATGCTACTTTCCGCAAATCTGAAATGCCAACAGCCATGTCCTCTAGCATTCCAATTTCATCACCTACACAGGGAGAAAGGTACCTCATTACAAACAGACTATTAAAATAAAATGTTGCTCCCTGCTGTGCCTCCCTGCTGAAATTTTTCCTAGATTATAAATGAGTTCCTGAATGCAGTGAGTCCATTCAGCCTACTTTACTTGATCAGCTGTGATGGTTTCCATCAGTGAAAAAAGAATGGATTCAGTGGACTCCAAAAGCCAATGTTCCTTTTAAGGAAAGAAGAGTGTTCACTTTTATTGGGAGGTATAACAAAGCATCATTTAGACATCTTTTTATTGACAGGACTGTTATTTGATATTTAGGTTTAAGAGAGTTTTACTGATCATTTCATCAATTATAAACTACCTAATTCTAATTTTGTCTTCAAAGTCAGATAAATATAGCCTGGAGACATAATAAACATTCAATATTAGCATTATCCAATAGAAATAGGGGCTATATATGTAGCTGCAGATTTTCTGATCTTCATTTCTTCACAAGAATAAAATAAAACAAAGAAACATTAATTTTAATCATATGTTGTATAAATCCCAATATATACAAACAGCAGATACAAATGTAAAGCAATATAAACTTCTTAATAGCTGATAAAAACCACTACCTTCCCTAGTCTTTGAAATCTGATGTTCATGTCTAGAACATATTTATTTGGACTAGTAGAATTTCAAGCACTCCACAAACACATGGAGTTCCTGTATTGAAAAGCCTGGTTCCAGACATGAGGCTGTTGTGTTTTCAAAATCCAGTCAATGAAACTGTTGTCAATGAGTCTCTCTATTAAAAAAGACAAACAAACAAACAAAAAATCATCCAGGTGGCTGCTCAAGTCCACTCTGAAAAAACCTGCAATTTCATTCTCAAAATGTAATAGAAATCCCAAGGGTGAATGAGTACCAAAGTTAGAAGCTACATTATTTCTGTAAGATGTGGCATAGAAAAGGTTCACTTTTTATTTTTGATCTTAGCTGAAAAAAATCTGATATGTCATCACGCTGACTAGCAATAAGATCTTAATATGAACCCATGCAATACTTACTATAGGTACTTAGTAGTCCTTCATACTGTACTATCAAGCCCACTGTGTGAAGCTGCTGTAGGAAGTAGGGGTCATGTAGACTTGTATGTAATTTGATGATAAAACCACACACCAGTCCTGCAAGCTAAGAAAAAAGTAAAGGAAGTCACTGGGGTCAGCTATCTTATCACTTCAGTTTTTTAATATCTTCAGATTTTTGAGACATCACAGATTTAATTAAAATTCCTCAAGTGTATATAACAAAGCTGCTAGAATTTACACATATCTATTAAAATAAATTGATGGTCTTTGATCTGAGGTGGCATTGTCTCTGGGCTTGGGAATAGAGAATTGAAAGGAAGCCAGATAAATGGATTTTAGAGTCAAGGTGGAAAATCTTTGAATTGTATGCTTACTGTCTAAAACCATGGCCCCACTAAATTTTCTTAAGATTTTCAAATTATGCTATTATTGTGTTTTTGCACATGTGACTATAGTCACTAAAAGAACATCATGAATTAGCTGGCTTAAGGGAGAGTGCAATTCCTGCTTAGCTCCATCTGCCTCTGGACCACTAATGGCATAATATACTGGCAATGGGCAATTTGGTTAAAATAACCCCTTTGCAATAACTTACAGAGTGAAGAATTGGTCTCTCCTTCCCTCCCTGTACTTTACCTCTGAAACTGAATTGTTGGGTAGAAAGGGGGGTGAGAGAAAAGCAAAAGGAAAGCAGTGAGCCCTGCCCTGAGCATAGGACTGGTCTTGGAGTCCTGATTAGGGTTTGATATAGACAGAGGGAATTGTTCTGCCAACATTTACAAACAAGTCTTGTAACCTCAGAAACTTCTTTTATATATAAAAAAAGAAGAGATCACTGTGAAACCCTGTCCTGAGATTTACGAGAAAGTCCCATTTGCGGAGCTCTTGGCCATCCCTTGCAGTGCAAGGCGACAGTCACTTCCTTTTCACCCATAGGCTGTCCTAGGGAATGATATAAGGAAACATTGTCTCTTCCTCCCAGACTCCATCCACAGTTCAAGTAAATATTAATTTCATATTGAGCTGTATCTTTTCACAAAGAAATACCAAAGGTTCAAAAGTTGTCCATGATCCATATAAACAAAACAGGGTATCAGAATTTCAGAAGGGATATTTAAAAATAAAACTATGCAAAGTGCCCTACCCCCATAAAGGATGGGCCATCAGCAGTTCACACTGTATTTGCAAACAACAGTGGGCACTCACCGCCTGACTGAAGACAATGTCTCTTCTCAGGGTCAGCATCAGACACTGGGGCAGGCTGTAGGCTAGTTCCTGAAGCAGCACAAATGTCAGGCTTTGTTTGGCTCTGCTCACCACCTCTCCCATGCACTCCTTCAGGGTAATGATGAGGGGGTGTAACTGTTCATACCAGTCCTCTGTGATGATGGAGATGTAGAGCAAGAACAGTGGGAAAAATGAGAAAGAGTCCCTGAATAGAGAATCAATATTTCTAGTGAACTCGTATGTCTTATCCAGGATTCATGGGTCTTTGTCCCTAGATGTGTGTCAGACATGACAGTAAGATACCCTTCTGCTTCACTCTTCTCTGTCTGTCAGTTAATGATGCCATCAAATTCTGTCTATTCTGGAGACAGAAGTTTAGCTGGATTTCTCCCAAAGATTTCATTGAAACTGGACCATCAAATCAACTCTACTCCTAGAGTGGCCCATTTAATATCAATCTTCCCTATACTCTGCCCATCATGCATTGTCATACCTAGGATAGATTCCTGGTCTCCCCTCCTGCATCTATCAACTCAGGTCATATCCTTTTTTCTATAATCTGGATGGTAATTTCCCAATCAGTCTGAATCCCATTTCATTGTTTCTGTTTCCTTATGTAAGACATATAAAGCAACAAAATCTAGCCAAGTACCATCATCACATGGCAAATGAGTCCAAACTCAAGAAGAATCCTCCATGATGCAACCTCTGCACATTTATTCAGAACCACCTTCGAAAATAGCTTGCAATGTTGAGTTCTAAGTGCATTGAAATATTCCTGCCCTGCCATACCTTTTCATGCCAAGAGCTTTCAAGACATTTTCTCTTCTAGAAGTTATCTTTTCTCTATCATTCTGGAAAACAGTTTATCTTCAAGGAAGTCATATCCCTGACGTTTTCACATTTAGCAGACACCAAAATTGTCAATGAATGGTCCAACTTAAGACAAACATGGTATGCTTTTGTAAAACAAAGATATATAATGAGACAATCAAATTTAGGCACTATTAGTATTTCAAATAGTGTTTTAAAGTGTGTGTGTGTGTGTGTGTGTGTGTGTGTGTGTGTGTGTGTGTGTGTGTGTTGGTATACATTGTATGTACATGTGTGCACATATTTATACATGCCTCTGTGCTTGTATAGCAGACAGGGATTAACATGCATCTCTTTCTATTGTTCCCATCTCACATTTTGAGACAATCTCAGAGTGAACCTGGAATCCACCCACTGGCTAAACTCTGCCTAATGAGCTCTAGGTTCTATTCTTTCTCTATGCTTTCCAGAGCTGAGTATACAGGTGTCAATCACCATGCTTTGCATTTTGCTTGTATATTTTAAGTAAGAAAGAAGGGGTAATGGAGATAGGATCTAAACCAAGGTCTTCACCTTTGCACAGCAAAAATCTTATTCACTGAGCCATCTCTCTGGCACCCAAACAGCCTTTCTTAAAGTCAAGATAAAATCTGAAGACTATTGGCAGAACAGATGACTTGGTGGTTAAGAGTACTGACTGCTCTTCCAGAGGTCCTGAGTTCATTTCCCAGCAACTACACAGTGTCTCACAACCATTTACAGTGGGATCTTGTAGGGAGCCGTCCCTGCATTCTCCATTACAAGATGGCGCCTGCATCCGGCAGGCACCGAATGTAAACAAGATTATTGCGCAGGCGCTGGGTAAATTTCCATTCCTTGATCTCTGCCTATTCCGTGGCGTCATATGGCCGGATGAGCTGCAGCCAATCATGGGGTGACATGTCCAAGGCGGCGGTTGCCCTCCTTTATTAGGGGATGGGCTTCTTGGTTCAGGGTCTCCGCTCTGGTAAGCTTATGCTCTCCTCTCTCAAGACGCATTAAAGCTTTCCTGCAGAAGGATCCGAGTGTCCCGTGTATGATTTCTTGCTGGCGAGAAATACAGAGAGCGCGCGGGACATATGGTGCCGAAACCCGGGAACATGTGAACATTTCCAGCACCTCGGAGACCCCTCTAACGAGGCGGATTCAGAACTGCAGGGTGGTAAATTCGGAGAGGTATGATTTTTCTGGACTTTGGCTTGGGAATGTTGCTATTGTGGGAGGTTAATATAGAGGCTTCTATGCTTTTACTAGGAGCTATTTTGACTTTTCTCACTGTTGTAGCAATCTTAAAGAAGTCCAGAATTACATATCAGAAACCGAATGTGGTGAGAGATGGGGCGCGCCTAACAATAAAATATAAGAAAAAAGGACCTCCCGGGATGTCTA